AGACAATGTAATGTTGTGATAATGCGCTATATAAATAAAATTGAATTGAATTGAATGTCTCGGTCATGCACAGGAGCTGCGAACCCTGCCCTAGTGGCTGAAAAGAAAAGGCAGTTAGGAGAGAAACAGCGTATGTGGGAGAGAGAACCCGGTCCCAACCCACATTTAAACGCATAACAGTCCCTGTTGTGGGACAAACAGTGGCTGAAAAGAGTCAATGTCCCTCAGACGTAAATGTTAAAACCAAAGTTCAGTTATGTGCTAGCATAGAACGCCCAGATAGGAACCTCTCGAAACTCCCTACGGGTTTGGTTGGTACCAAGAGTACCGCCAAAGTAAACATAAAAGATAAAGAAATCAGCTGCCTATTTGACACAGGGTCGCATGTCACAACAGTTCCCCGATCATTTTACGAACAACATTTTTCAGAGTAGGAGATCAAGCCACTACATCTCTTAGAGGTGGAGGGAGCGGCTGGGCAGTCTGTTCCCTACTTGGGTTACATTGAGTTGCCTGTGGTCTTCCCAAAGGAATTTGTGGGGGCACCAGTTAATGTAAACACATTTGCCCTAGTCGTCCTTGACCGTGAAGCCGTCACAGAGCCCCTAGTGCTGATAGGCACTAATACTCTTGATGTACTGTACGACCTCTACTCCAAAGCCGGACTGATACATCGGCCTGTCCCACGTGGGTACAGAGCAGTCCTTAAGGCACTTGAAGTGAGGCACAAGCAGGCGAACAATGCTGAGCCCAATGGTTTGGTGAAGCTACAGGGATTGAACTCTCAAGTCATTCCAGCAGGCAAAACCATCGTGCTTCAAGGGACCGCGCCAGTGAGTGGGTTCCAGAGCGAGAAATCTGTTCTAATTGAACACCCATTCTTATCCTCCTTGACGGGAGGGTTGCTTGTGAAAACTAGCCTGGTTGATCTTCCCCAACGGTGGCCTTATAAGCTACCGGTCGTGATTTGTAATGAGACCGATCATGACATTGCCATTCCTGCTAAGTGTACAGTAGCGCAGATCTCTACTTATCAGAGTATGTCATTAAAGGAGCGCTGTGTGGCTGGGCTACCTGAGCCGTTACAAGGATTTCCCGGTACGGAGCCTTCCCAAAAGCCTGTTTTGAACTTTAATTTTGGTGAGTCCCCAATCCCACCTGAATGGAAAGAACGCATTGTTCGGCAGCTCAGAAATATGTCTGACGTGTTTGCACAGCATGACTGATTTTGGCCGAACAGATAAGATAACGCGTGACATAAAGCTCTCGGACGGAACTCCCTTTAAACAGCGTGCCCGACCAATCCACCCTCAGGACATTGAAGCGGTCAGGAAGCATATCCAAGAGCTTCTTGATGCAGGAGTTATCAGGGAGTTGGAGTCACCCTTCTCGTCACCAATTGTGGTGGTCAGGAAGAAGAACGGCCAAGTTCGGCTATGCATAGATTATAGGCGCTTGAACCTTCAGACCATAAAAGATGTGTACTCTCTCCCAAAGCTAGAGGATACCTTTTGTGCTCTCAATGGTTCCCAGTGGTTTTCTGTTCTTGACTTGAAGTCAGGGTTCTATCAGATAGAAGTTGAAGAGGCGGACAAACCCAAGACTGCCTTCGTGTGTCCTCTTGGATTCTGGGAATTCACCCGAATGCCACAAGGAGTGACGAATGCCCCAAGCACATTCCAGCGATTGATGGAAAAATGCATGGGGGACATGCACTTGAAGGATGTGTTAGTTTTCCTCGACGACCTGATTGTGTTTTCAAAAACTCTGGAGGAACATGAGGAGAGGTTGGTGAAGGTGCTCTGTCGCCTCAGGGAGTTTGGTCTGAAATTGTCCCCTGAGAAATGTGTTTTC